GATGGTGTAGGGGAAATGACTTTGGGGCAGGGGGACGCATGGTGATTTCAGCTCTCCTTTTTCAAGCAGGGGAGGAAAACTATTTTTTTTTCCCTTGCCAGTCTGAGCCTCCAACGCAAACTTACACCAAAGCTTGAACTTACACCAAACACACTTTTTAAAAGTAAAACAAACCACACATACTTCTGTAATGATTTCATGTTTTGGTGTGTGTTTCTTTAAATGTTTAGTTTGTCTGCAGTAATATGAGAAGAGTGATAGAGGGAGACGAGTGTGATGTGATTGGCTGATGACAGAGTGTGGGAGGAGGGGTGTCTATGAGAGTGATTCTGTGTATGAAGTTTGAAGGGAGAGCATAGTTTTTGAGTCTATTCTGTGTGTGAAGTTTGAAGAGAGAGCATAGTCATTGAGACTCAGAGTTTTTGAGTCTATTCTGTGTGAATAAGACGAACAGTTTAGTCTGTGTGAAGATGAATTTTGAGCCTTTTCTGTGTGAATAGGACAAAGAGTTCAGCCTGTGTGGCTATATAGATGAGAGATTAGAGTGAGTGTCTATGCCTGTCAGAGTGCAGTTTTGGGAGTCTGAGAGACTGTGACACCAAGCTTTGCCAGTTATATTTACAAGTTCCTTTCATCAGCAATAGTTCAAAACAACCAGAAACATATTGTTCTTTAATAAATCATATTGTGTTTAAACATATCCCAGGAATCAGTACAGCCCTTCCTCAGGGCCACATAGTCCTCTGAAGTGCCCACACCCTGGATCATTCTACCAAAAGAGAGAGATTTGGAATTTTTAATTCCTGGTGGCAGCAGAGATCTACCAAGTTTAGGTACACAGAGAGTGTTTTAATGGTAAAACTGTCTACCCAATAGGCAGGACGCCACAGCTTCCCTCGGAAATTCTCTCTGCTTTACTCTTCCTACCGTTGGAAGTTTGCACCAAGCACAACTACACAAATGGCTGCCATTGCACTGGTCTCCTTCTCCCCAATAAACCACTGCTAACAGCTCCTAGCACAGCCTCCCACCAGCCGCCATCTTGCCAGCACTTTGAAGCATGACCCTTATGGAGGAGGGACTTCCGCCCCCGGGTGGAAGTCCACCTGTCAAAAATGGTTTGATGATAGAAGGGAGGTCCCTTATTCTTCTCGTCTTTTCGTTGCACCCTGGGGGTTCTGACGTGGAACCAAGCCCAGAGCAGCACAACTGTAGCTCAAGCGGCTGGTCCTCATGAACAAGGAGGAGATTGGATTTATACCCCGCCCTTCACAACCCAAAGGTGTCTCAGAGCAGCTTACAAACTCCTTTCCCTTCCCCTCCCCACAACAGACACCCTGGGAGGTCGGTGGGGCTGAGAGAGCTCTTGACAGAAACTGCTCTTTTTCAAGGACAGCTCTTATCAGAACTACGGCTTGCCCAAGGTCATCCAGCCAGGTGCAAGTGGAGGAGTGGGGAATCACACCCGGCTCTCCCAGATTAGAGTCCGCGCACTTAACCACTACACCAAACTGGCTCTGAACAAAGACTGAATTGCTTATTAACGAATGATGGTTATTAAAGCCTTTTGGGAAAGGCAAAAACAAGAAAAGTGGGTGAGCGCGGCTTCACGTGGTCAGCGTCTAGTCCAGGGGTCCCTAACCTTGGTGAGCCTGTGGGTGCCTTTGGAATCCTGCCACATGACGGGCATAGCCCCAAAATGGCCGTTACGGGAGGTGGAGCCGGCCGGAAAAGGTCTGCCCCAACTCACCTGCGTTCACACGGTGACGATCTTTGCGCTGTGGTGGCAGCGGATGCCAAAGTCAATCTTTTTAAATATCTGCTGAGCCAATTGAACGTCCGGTGGCCAAACAGACGCCTTGCTGGGTAAAAGTCCCACCAGGGCCCACTGTGTTCTAAAACCCCTTTGTGGGCTCCATGTTGGGGACCCGTGTTGGGCCCTCCCTGGTAGGCTGGAAATGGGGAGGCGGCTGCTGGCGGACTACCACGGCAGCTGTGTCACCGCTCAACTTGGTTCTCCTCGTGCGCCAAAGGGATTTCCCACCTGCCTGTTCCCTGAGGCACGAGCGGACAGGGCTTTCATCCTTTGGCTCAAAAGCGGCCCAGAAGATCCGTCGGGAGAGAAACGAACATCGGCTTCGTACTCTGAGGCCCCCCCACCCCCGCTTTCTTCTGCTTAATGCATTGCGTTTTCTTTTTCGCACTGTAAGCCGTTTCCTCCCCACGGGGAAGAAAAGTGAGATACAAATACCTCTGCAAGGTCCTGTAAACAGCCTGATCCAACATTGGCTTCTCTTATCTTCTTATGTCTGGGGCAAGGGATGCTCTGTATTCTTGGTCTTTGGGGGGGCAACAGTGGGAGGGCTTCTAATGTCCTGGCCCCACTGTTGGACCTCCTGATGGGACCTGGTATTTCTGGCCACTGTGTGACACAGTGTTGGACTGGATGGGCCTTTGGCCTGATCCAACATTGGCTTCTCTTATGTTCTTAACGTTTGCTTCATACTCTGAGCCCCCCCCCCCGCTTTCTTCTGCTTAATGTGTTGCGTTTTCTTCCCCACGGGGAAGAAAAGTGAGACACACACAAATACCTAGGCAAGGTCCTGTAAACACCCCCCCCCCCACCCCGCCCCGCCAGTTTGATACAAATCTTTAGGTTTCACCTTCAGCCCCCCGCTTCCCATCCGGGATTTTAGCAGAATTAAAAATGGTGTATTTGTACAGAAAAGCAATAGATCCCCTTCACTTCAGCAATCTGCGTTACAAAATGAAGTCCAGAGGCACTTCAAGGACTCCCCCCCAGAGCTGACTTACGCTGACCCCCCTAGGGTTTTCAAAGCAAGAGATGTGCAGAGGTTGTTTGTCATTGCCTGCCTCTGCGTAGCAACCCTGGACTTCCTTGGAGGTCTCCCACCCAAGGACTAACCACGTCTGACCCTGCTTAGCTTCCAAGGCTGGCTGCCTGGAGCTCCCCAGGTCAGAAACCTTAAGGACTAACAGCATTCATTCCAGCATGAGCTTTTTGTGAAGAGCTCACTTCCTCAGATACAGCACGAAGAAAACCACATACCTCATTTTAAGGGGGTAAATAATTCCCTCTCTTTTATCTGATGAAGTGAGCTCAGACTCACAAAAACTCATGCTGGAATAAATGCTGCTAGTCCATAAAATGCCACTGGACTTCCGTTTTGCTTGGCCACGACAAACTAACACAGCTGCCCCTCTAGACCTGGGAATTGGTGTTCAAGGCATTTAACCAGCATGTGGAATATGGCCCGCTCACCCACCCCATCTAGGCCTGGCTTTCTCCACCTCTCCCCCCTCTTGGGGCATCTCCAAGGGAAAGAAGAGGAGACTGGATTTATACCCCGCTGTTCACTACCCGCCGGGGTCTCAGAGTAGTTTCCCTTCCCCTCCTCACAACAGACACCCTGTGAGGTAGGTGGGGCTGAGAGAGCTCTTTCGAGGACTGCCCTTGAGAGAACAGCTGACAGAACTTACGACGGACTGAAGGTCACCCGGCTGGCTGCATGTGGAAGAGTGGGGAATCAAACCCGGTTCCCTCAGATTAGAGTTCGCACACTTAATCACGGCACCTAACAGGAGATTAGATTTATACCCCGCCCTTCACTACCCGAAGGAGTCTCAGAGCAGCTTACAATCTCCTCTCCCTTCCCCTCCCCACAACAGACACCCTGTGAGGTAGGTGGGGCTGAGAGAGCTCTTTCGGGGACTGCCCTTGAGAACAGCTCTGAGAGAACTTGTGACTGACCCAAGGTCACCCAGCCGGCTGCACGCAGAGGAGCGGGGGATCAAACCCCGGTTCTCCCAGATTAGAGTCCGCGCTCTTAACCTCTACACAACAGGACCAGCTGTGAACCACCGCTAGCTCTGGGAAACCTCAGCTGCGCCCCCACCAATATGCCAGGCCGAGGGGGGGGGAACGGGTTGCCACCCCCACCCAAAGCCTGGGGAGGGGGCTGAGCCGTGGGAAGTCCTTTAGAACCCGAGGCCTACTCTCTGCGGGGCAATTATCAGTCGAGGGCCCAAGGTATATACATATTTTATTTTTAAAAAAAGTTTTACAGTTTCTTTTTAATTATACACAACTATTTTGAGAGGTTATAGTTCTTAGAAGAGGCACCTGCCGCGGCTCCAGGCATGCCCCACTACATCATCACAATGCAAAGAGAGGAGGAGGAGGAGGAGGAGGGGGGGGAAAAAAAGAGCTCGGACTCAAACGGAAGGGCTGGGTGCCCCCTCTTTTTTTTTTTAATCTTCTCTAGTATTCACACAATATGTACCAAATACAGTCAGTAAAATAAATGGCCATTTCTCATGCGGCACGGACGCCCGCTTCAAGTGCCGGCAACAACTCGAGACGAGCGAGAGGAAGCCAAAAAGGAAAAGGAAAAAAAAGAAAAGAAAAAAAATATATAGA